ATTTTCATTCATCTAATAATAATTTTTGATAATTTTCTAATTTTTCAATAATTTTTGATAATTAAAAATTCATTTGATAATAAATTATCAGTCGAAAAATTGTCATAAATTTTCATCTTTTGACTTTTTTATTCCAAATGGAAAATCAAAGTGAATAAAAATTTTTGTAGGTGATAAAAAAATATTTTCTATTCAATTTGAATTATGCTTCATCACGATAGCTTAATGATATGATCGTTGTTGTTTGCCGTAGAAGGTTGAATCAAATTCTGAAGTGATACTATCATTTACCAATCAGTCAAGAACAGAACCAATTGATTACTGATCAAAACTTATATGATCAAATTGAAAAAAGAAATTTAAGAAATGATTATAATATTAAAAGATAGAGTTCATTTGAAAGTAATGACATATAATATTCGCCCATAACAAATATCACGTATTACGTACGTATTCATGATTACGAGACATTTCTTGCGTCAGTAGCTATTATTATTATTATTATTATTATTATCATTATTATTTTTAATATTGATATCATAAACTGATTGTATTTATGTAACAGTAATAGTAATTTACATTGAACAGGGAACCGGAAAAGAAGATTGAAATAAATTAATCAATCACAAATGTTGTTTGTGATTGATTAACATTAAACAATTGAAAAAATTGGATTAATTAATTAATCAATCAATTTTTTAAATAATAATAAATTAGCAAAAAAAAAAAATTAAACTTAAATAATATGTTTCTGCAAATAATTGTAGCAAATAGTAAGATGTTTGATACTGTTTACAGAATATGATAATTAACCTAAGGAAATATTTGAAACATTATTGACATTAGTAACAGTAATTTTTACTCAAAAATTTACTTTTTAAATTTATTATTATTAAATGATAATAACATTGAATTATGTGATATTTGTGTTTTTATTAATAATAATTAGAGAAAATATGAGTTATTGTAGATTAACATTATCACAGCAATGAATAATAATTAATTAAAATGGAATGAATATTTGTGCTTCTTCTTTTTTAAATATATTTTTGATAAGTTTGGAAGAGAATTAATGAAAATGGTTTTTAGCTAAAGGAAGTAAAGTGATTTGAGAAATGAAAAATGAAAATGATAGATAGAAGGAGAGAGAGAGAGAGAGAGAGAGAGAGAGAGAGAGGAATGAAGAAGGAATTGAAGTAAGCAGGAACCGAACCATTTTGCCTCAGAAGTAAGCTTGTCCCCGAGGAGAAGCTTAAAGACTCTTCGTCATCGTTCATGTTGACGATTGAAGTAGAAAGTTGCGATAGAGCTTTACGCGCAATTTTCGAATCGATGAGAACGGGTAGTGGCATCCGGAATTAGACTCTCGTAGGATGACGATGATGATGATGATGAGATGGATGTAAAGATGAGGGATGGAAAAAGGAGAGGGAAGGAAAGGAAAGGGAAGGGGAAAGGAAAAGGGAAAGGGAAAGGGAAAAGGGGAAAGAGAATGAATGGGGAGGGGTTTTCTTCGGGTATCTTCAGTTAGCTCTGACGTATTTCTAGGCTAATGATGCTTCTTTGGCTCTAATAACAATAACGATGAATGGTGGAATGAGGTGAAAAGGTAATGCGAGATGGAATGTATGATTGACTACCCTTTCTATCCATCTATCTAACACTTTTCAGGTCTTCAAAGATCATTTCTAGACGAGGGGTTATGAAAAACAAGAAATAATGGAAATGGAAGAGGAAGAGAAAGTGACGTTACAGCAGGTGGCGTAAACGTGATGTAAAGAAAACGGCGGGGAGAAAGAGGAGATTGGGTGGGTAGGAGAGGAGGGTAGGGGGAGAATACTGGATGAGTAGATAGGCGGTGGATGGATAGATAGATAGATAGATAGATAGATAGATAGATAGATAGATGGTGGGTATAATACGGGAATAGGGTAAGGAGAGAAGAGGAGGGGGGAGCAATAAGTCCGATTCAGCTAATAGTAATACGCAAGCGGGGTTGGGGCAAAGAGAAGAGCCCCGTCCAATAAACATCTCTTTCGTGTCTGTCATTCTAGTGAAGTGTTGCAATAAGACGGCCCCGCGGGGTTGTCCCCCCTCCTGTCATACCCCTCTCTTTTCCTATCTGCTAAACCCTCTCCATTATTCAGTCAGAGAGCACATTATGTGTGCGTATGTGTGTGCGTAGGTGGACGAGTGTGTTGCTTACCGCCCCGTCCCGTCCCGTCCCGTCCCACCCCGTCCTGTCTCGTCCATCCGATGTTCAGAAGGGTGTATGGATGGTTGGCTGGATGGATGGATGGATGGATGTAAGGGAGGGGAGGGGGTGGCGGTGTTGGCTGGTTGCTTGAACCTCCCCCTCCCACGTTTGTGTTGTTTTGAGATTGCATACAACTACCGCCTTGCTATTTCCCTCCTTCCACCCCCTTTCTTCTCATTTCGTTCAATCTTGAATTGTTGTAATTGCTAATACCTTCGAAGGTTTTCAATTTCATTTGAAAGCTTTCAGATATCTCAGGTAGACAGCGATATGTTTATTTATTGTTGTACATTAAGCATAGCAAATGATACATTTAGATTACTGATTTGTTGATCGAAATAATTCAAATTTTAGAATTACTTCTATATAACAAATCTAAAAAGTATATATTCAATGCTAAACTCTTTTATTATTTCAAATTTAGCATTAATTTCATTATTTTAAATTAAATGTAAAATTGAAATGATAATTTTTAATTATCAAATACAAAATAATAGAATAAAATTGATTAATTAATTTGGTTGAAAAATATCAAAGAATTAACTTTTTTCTTTTGCTCTTTCTATTACGCTATACTTAATTTACAAATTAATAAAATAATAATCCATTATTACTGATAAATATTCGTTATAATTGAGTAAATACTAGGAAGTAGCTGAAATTATCATTTTCATTTGTTATCATTTGTTTTCTTCTTCCGCTATCACATAAAATCAAATATGTTAAAAGGAGCAATTAATATTAAGTTTTTTTCTTTTTATTTTTTATTTTACTATTTGACATTTCATTATTTTGTAGAAATTAAGACAGAAATAATTAGAAGGAAATAAAATTATAAATTATTTTTTGTTTATTATAGAAAGAAATTTTAATATTAAAAGTGTAGTACCATAATGGATAAATACTTTACTTGATGATTTTTTTTTCTTTGTAAATAATCAGTTTGATTAAATGTAAATTTACAAACATATTTTTGAGCGATACTCTTAATGATAAACTACTGATATGATATGATATGATAATTTAATCGTTTGAATTATATATGACATATGATTTGATTGTATCTTTAATTTTAATAAATTTTTGTTGACAATAAAAATAAGTAATATTGCAATTATAATACTTAATATTTGTGAATATTTTCCTCAGGAAATTAACAATTAAATAAACTTATTAACTTATTGATTTCAATGAATTCATTATTATCCAATAAGGGAATACAAGTTAAGTTATTTACTTAAATTTCATTTAACAAAATTTTGCCTCGAAACTTACTATTCTTTTTCTCTCTCTCTCTCTCAAAATTCAGATACGAAGCAAACAAAGCAAATAAGTAAGCTAAATATGAAAAAAAAAAAAAAAATTTAAAATTGATTTAATGTTGTTCATTTTACATTCTTTTTTCCAACTCTTTGCTTACCCTTTTAATTTTTCAAAAATTTTGTAAAAATTTGTTAAAATAATTTCTTCTTCTACAGCTTTCTCTCTCTCTCTCTCTCTCTCTCTCCATCCCTCTCTATTTCTCTCTCTTTTCTCTTTCCCTCATTCATTGTAAAATGTAAACAAATGCAATTCATAAATAAGAATAAATTTCAAATCACCAATAGATTTATTAGAAATTAACTTTACATTACTATGCCATACCAACAAATATTATCAGTTTATCATTATCTTATCATTATCAAATCTTCTTATTTTCATTTTTCTTTCTGTATTAGTTTTATTTCAAGTTTTTCATTGTCATAAATTTGATAGTAAGATATGATAATTAGATGACTTCGATGACAGATTACTTCTTATCCGTTTAGGAATGGAAAATTTTTCGATCCAAATATTCATTGCATATTTTATTTACTATTAACTTTTGCATTTCTTTGGATATATCAAATGGATTTTATGTAAAATGAAATGTTTAAAATTAATTTGAAATTGTTATTGTTATTATTTATTAATTTGAATTTGATTCAAAAATTAGTTAGCAGTTAATAATTTAAATATTATTATTCTTATTAGTTTGAATTTTGAATTGATTTGAATTTGATTTTCACTTTTAACTTTACTTTTAATATTTTTATCATTCTCTATCCGTTTGTGACAATTAACAATTGCTTATAACTGTTGGCAATAATATAGTTTTTTTTTTTTGTTAAAAGATTTGAAAATTTTAATTAAGCTTATTGAGAATAGTTGAAAAATCAATTAGTAGCTAATAATTTAAATATTATTATTGTTTATTTCTTCGCTTAATTTGAAACATAGTTATTTAAATTATTTGAATTTATATCAGATGCGTAATTATTTAAATATAATAAAACACATAATTACTTAAATATAAATATAATTTATAATAAACAATAATTAAAATACATATTAAAATACTTTAGAATTAATAAAGAAAAAAAAAATAATAAAAGATGAATATAATTTAAAATTTACAACCAATGAAATACATATTAAAATATTAGAATTAATTGAGATAACAATAAACTGTATGCTATTCATTATTGCTAAAAATGAATTCTAATTAGATAAAAAAGTAATCAAATTAAAAAATTTTAATTAAAAAAAACATAAATTAATATGCATCTAATCGATATTATATTTTTACTTTGTAAAATAATATTCTGATAAATTCTAACAGATTTTAAGAAAGAACAAAGAATAATTCAATACAGATTAAAGTGAAAATTAAAAAATAACAGATAGATAGCTAAAGATTCTCGATCGGTTTAATAATATGCGTTTAACTACCGCTTTTCTTGGCTGTACCTATTTTCTTGGCTGTACCTATTTTCTTGGCTGTACCTCTTTTCTTGGCTGTACCTCTTTCCTTGGCTATACCTCTTCCCTTGGCTATATCGCTTTTCTTGGCTGTACCGCTTTTCTTGGCTGTACCTATTTTCTTGGCTGTACCTCTTTCCTTGGCTGTACATCTTTCCTTGGCTGTACCGTTTTTCTTGGCTGTACCTCTTTCCTTGGCTGTACATCTTTCCTTGGCTGTACCGTTTTTCTTGGCTGTACCTCTTTTCTTGGCTGTACCTCTTTCCTTGGCTATACCTCTTTCCTTGGCTATATCGCTTTTCTTGGCTGTACCTCTTTCCTTGGCTATACCTCTTTTCTTGGCAGTACCGCTTTTCTTGGCAGTACCTCTTTTCATGGCTGTACCTCTTTTCTTGGCTATACCGCTTTTCTTAATACTTCTTCTATTGCACCTTTCTTAGTACCTCATTTCTTGACTGTACCTTTTCTGCTTTTCCTGATTGTTCCTCTCTGTTTAATACCTTTCTTTTTAGTTGACCTATAACCCATAAAATATTTCAACTCTTTCTAAGATTAAAAGATTAGAAAAAAAAAAAGAAATAAAGGCACTTTTTCTTTTTTTGTTCTTGAATAATTTAACAAATAAATACTAAATTTTAACTTTTTCCTAATGATACAATTAGATTTGATAACATTTTGCAATATATTATTAAACTAATATAATACGATAATTTAGATAATTATTTTGTTGGTTTTATAAGAATTTTTTTTTTTTTTTGATATATTAATTTATATTTTATAAATTTTTGAAAAAACAAAAAGAGATAGACAGATGAAAAAAAAAAAGAGAAGAAAAGAAAATTAGGAAAAAATTTAAACAAAAAAAAAGTGTCTCTCTTAATACTATGTTACTATTTTTTTTTTTTTTTTTATTCTCTTATATGCTAATTATTTTGTTATTTTTTTTATCTTATCACATACATAATCTATAAGAAATTTATCACTTCTTAAAATTATTTAATTTTATTTGAATCTTTTTTTTTTCAACAAATTTTAATGATTTTTTTGTTTTTTTTTTGCTAACATTAATCATTTTATTAAACGATTTTATGGTTTATAGTTGAAAATATAATTATTTGCTATATACTTAAGCTAAAAAAACAAAAAATGAAAAAAGAAATTGGAAAATTTTTTTGAAAATCTCCGCACCAAATCAATAATCAATTATTATTATAATTTTATTATTGTGATATTTAATTTTTTTTTTCATTTTTTATTTTGATTTCTTTTTTTTTTTTTTTTGTTTATTTCTGAATTTATTTCATCTATGTTATTTATCATTTTTCAACATTTGCTACCTATCAAAATTGAATTTTTCTTTTATCAAATTTTCAAAATTAAAAGATTGAAATTAAATGTTTCTTTTTTTTTTTTTCGAACTATTTTCTTAATCTTATAGTTATTTATAAATATTATATTTTTATCACTTTATTTCATTCTTAATTTTTTTCATCCATTGATAGTTACTCAATTACAGATCAAAGATTTTTCCCTCTTCTCTTCCTCTCCTCCCCTTCTCTCTCTCTCTCTCTCTCTCTCCCTCCTTATTATACATAGGTCATTGTTGCATTTAGAGATGACATTTTGAATGAAATTATATCACAATAAGTGAAATTATTACTGGAAAGACAATTTAAGATATATTATAATGACTCGTCTGACATCCAATTATAGTAAATGGCTAAAAGGTCAATGATTTTTAGAGATTAAATATTAGAGAGAGAGAGGGAGAGAGAGAGAGAGGGAGAGAGAGAGAGGGAGAGAGAGAGAGAGAGGGATGAGCTAAATTTGAAATCCATTTTTCTCCGCTAATACCGTAACATTAATTTTTCAATGCTAATCAAAAATTTCTCTCTCTCTCTGTTCATCCTCGAACACTTCTTTTTTTTCATATCAAATATAAATTATTATCTTAAAATTTATTTGTTTATTTTTTTTCATTTCAAAATTCTTTGAAAATGATCATTGCTTTTTTGTCCATTTTTTGAATGTGAATATGATTTCTTCCTTAATTATCTCTTCTTCTTATCTCCCTTGAAGTATCTCCCTAACACTGCAAAGTATTAAAATTTAAGCTAATTTTTTTTTTTTTTTTTGAAAGAGAGGAAAAAAAAATTAAACTTTAAACCAAAAAGCAAAAAACATTTTTTTTGCTATCAAAAAATTTCACATAAATCTCAGTGCATAATTTTTAGTTAAACTACAAAAAAAATCTTTTGATCGTCTCAAAATTATACAATGAAATGATCGATACTAAAAAGCTTTTTAAGTGGTTAATGTAAAATTGAAATTTATTTTTTTTTACTTTTTTTTTTTTTGAAATTTACATCATCAAATGATTACTAATAGTAAACTTTACACATTCCGTCATATGCTTTCACGTAATGTGTCACAACACAATAACAAATTGATTAAAATAAAAAGTAAATTTTTTAAAGATTTTTTGGTTTATTATTACTTACCTGATATGATATGACGTAACGTAACGTAATGAAATGTATAAAGCATACCGTTAGGAGTAATTCCCTTTGATGAAAAGCTATTTGATAATCACAAGTTCCGTATTCATTGATGCTTTCACGTACTGTGTCACAACACAATAACAAATTGATTAAAATAAAAAGTAAATTTTTTAAAGATTTTTTAGTTTATTATTACTTACCTGATCCTATTTAGATCCTATACTTAGACCTATTTAGTCCTATACTTAATCCTATTTAGTCCTATACTTAGGGTCATCCTATTTAGACCATCCTATACTTATCATTTAGAGAATTTAGACCATTAGGGTCATCCTATTTAGACCATCCGATACTTAGGGTCATCCTATTTAGACCATCCTATACTTAGGGTCATCCTATTTAGACCATTCCATACTTAGGGTCATCCTATTTAGACCATCCTATACTTAGGATCATCCTATTTAGACCATCCTATACTTAGGGTCATCCTATTTAGACCATCCTCTACTTAGGGTCATCCTATTTAGACCATTCCATACTTAGGGTCATCCTATTTAGACCATTCTATACTTAGGGTCATCCTATTTAGACCATTCCATACTTAGGGTCATCCTATTTAGACCATTCCATACTTAGGGTCATCCTATTTAGACCATTCTATACTTAGGGTCATCCTATTTAGACCATTCCATACTTAGGGTCATCCTATTTAGACCATTCTATACTTAGGGTCATCCTATTTAGACCATTCCATACTTAGGGTCATCCTATTTAGACCATTCCATACTTAGGGTCATCCTATTTAGACCATTCTATACTTAGGGTCATCCTATTTAGACCATTCTATACTTAGGGTCATCCTATTTAGACCATTCCATACTTAGGGTCATCCTATTTAGACCATTCTATACTTAGGTCATCCTATTTAGACCATTTCATACTTAGGTCATTCCACCTTCCTCTCTTATTCATGTCATCCATAAATCATTACCCTCCATCCCTCCATATACCTACACATAAATTGAGATTTTTAGGATTAATCCGCTCGGTTAATTAATCCATCTATAAGTTAAAGTATGTTTATTCAATAATTGAAAAACTTTTATATTATTAAAGTATATGATTATTTTATTACAATTATATATAATTATGAATTTTTCTAAGTAACTAATTTCTATTCGTTTAAAATTTTTCATTTAATTAAATTTTTTTTTTGATTATATTATTTTTTTTTTTTTTGCTTCTATAAATATTATGAATGAATATTTTTAGCATATTTATTATTTATTAGTACGTATATCATGTTCAAAATGAAATTTTGTTTATTTGTTTTCTTTTTTTTTTTTTTTTTTTTCAGAAATAAAACGAATGGTAGAGAATCATAACGAAACTTTTCATGCTAATTTGGATATTTTTCGATCGGATGATTGTATAAATTCAGGAACGAATACTAGCAATGATAATAGTAATGATAAAATGATTGTAAATCACAACAATAATTTATCAACAGATGAAAAAATTTCAACCATTCTACCTATGATGGCAGTTAATGAGACAAAAGAAATTAATGATGGAAATAATTTATTATTAAATTTAAATAATATTGGTGAATATTCAATGGAAATGTTAGCACGATTAACATCATCAGCAATAATAAATCCAGAAAATTATCATTATGATAATAATGATAATTGTACTAGTAGTGCTAATGCTAATGCTACTGGTACTAGTACTGGTGATAATGGAATAAAAAAACAAAAATCACAAAAATTTAAACCATCAAATGTTTGGCGACATTTTATGCGTTTATCTGATGGTAATGTACGTTGTATACATTGTGGAAAAATTTTAAAACGTAAAGATAGCTCAACAAAAACAATGTGGGGACATTTACGAGCAATACATTCAAAAGATCGAGAACGAGAACGAGAACGAGAACGAGAACAACAACAACAACAACAACAGATTGGTCGAGATTATGATAAATTAAATGGAATTGAAATGCAAACAATGGATGAATTAGATCGTAGTAGAATTATTACAACACAAAATTGGCTTGAACAACGAGTGGGTATACTTTGTGATAAAACACAACAAACACAATTGATAAATAATGAATTAATTGGACAGTTGGATGAAACAACATCATCATCAATTGAATCATTTCGTTTGGTTAGAAAATTACTTTTTTTTTTTTTTTCTAAAAAAGTTTTTTTTTTTTTTTTTTTAGCATTATTTTAACTTACAAAAAATTATTTTTTATTAAATGATTAATTTTTATATTTTATTTGTTTATTCTTTTTTAAATATTATAAATTTAAAAATAACAAAAATAAAAATTTGTAAATTTTTAGTCATCAACTCAACCATATAACAAACGTAATCGTTTATCACCATTAATTTCAAATGGCTATACAGCAAATTTAAGAAATATTAATCATAATGCAATTAATGATTGTATTTATAATGGTAATAGCTTGAATACAGCATTTACAACATTTGCACAATTCGATCAGAACACTGAAGAGGTATGTTTTTAATTTTTATTTTCATTAATTTTACATTCATCTCTTATCTTTATTATCATTTCTCTAAGTAATACTTTCTCTTCTTTCTTTTTTTTTTTTTTGTAAGTTAAATTTTACAAAAAATTTCTATAAAATTTATTTGAATTTGAAATTTATATTAAAATTTATTGAATTTATTTATAAAATTTATTTTTAAAATTTATAAAAGAAAAAAAAAAACTTATCAGCCAATTTAATTAATGATTAATATTTTGCTAAAATTTAAAGTATAAAATTGAATATGATGCATCTTTAATTTTTTATTTATACGATTGTAGAAATCACGTAACTTCTTATCATCTATTCCA